TACAAGGAGAGTGGTTAGGCCCTGGAACGGGCTGCCCAGGGAGGTTGTGGATGCCCCGTCCTTGGATGTGTTTAAGGCCAGGTTGGACGGGGTCCTGGGCAACCTGATCTGAATGTGTGTGTTTGGTGGCCCTGCTAGGCAGGGGGGTTGGAACTACATGATCCTTGAGGTCCCTTCCAACCCGGGTGATTCTGTGATTCTGTGATTCCTGTACATCTGCTTCACTTACTGTATTCTGTAGTGTGGGGTGGGGTCGGGCAAAAAGGACTCACCTTAGGCACGTCACTTCTTATCACTGTTGTCGCCTGGGTGGTGCGGTAACTATACTGTGGGCACAGCTCAAATGAATCAGATAAAGCCACAGCCTGAGAGCTGGGCTCACATTTCCTTGCAGGGGTACTACCCCCACCTTAGGAACTTGAGTTTCATGTTTTAGTGAAGATCAAAGCTGCTCTCTGATGTGCACAACCCTCTTATTTTTGTAACCGAATCTTCTCATTCTATGTCTTCACAGATGATGTTTGTGGGAGTACAGGCAGTCAAGATGCTAAAGATACAGGGTCATATATAATTCCACAGTACTGCTCCCATAGTGTCTTTGTTATGAAGCTAGTGGCCAGATGTGTGGATATGTGTAGTTACTGATAGCACTGACAAGGAACAGCACAGATGATCACAGAATGGCCTGGGTTGGAATGGACCTCAAGGATCATGTGTGTCTAGTTTACCTACCACACGCAGGGCCACAATGATCTGGGCCGTGATCTGTGCACTGGAATCTGTGATGATTGAGAGCCTGTGTAAGGAGACCAGTGTGTATTGTACCTTCTCCGTTACTTTTTTTTTTGTCTTTTCCTACAGTAGTTGCCCTTCCTACAGTTTTCTGTTCTGCTGTTTCCTACCCCATTAAAACTTCACCATTTTAAAAAATGAAAAATATAAAACCAGTACTCCTCTTCATTTGGATACCTCTGTTACTACAAAACATGGCAGATGTGCCTTGAAGGATGTACCCCTGTCAGTTGTCTTTGAACTGTTCGCTGGTTGAAACTCGGAGCCTTCCTTCTTTTGCCAAGCTTCTTCCTGTGTGTCACTGTTGTTCTCTGTGGTTGACTTCCCTACTGTCCCCACATACAAACATATGGAGGACTTAAAGGTATCCACAGTGTTTATTTGTTGTTAGTTAGTTAGTTAGTTTGTTTGTTGAAGTACACCTTAAAAAGTCTCAGCCATCAGTTCTCTTCCTTTCTAATAACCTTTTCCTTTTCCATTTACTTTCTGTCGCTGTAACTGTCATTGCTGTGCAAAAGAAGGGCTCCAGCATCCTCCCAGCACCACATGTATCAGACTTTTGGGCATTAGGAGTGACTTGTGGCTGAACGCACTGTTCAATACTGCCTTCTCCAAAGAGAGCAAATCCTGTAGTACCTAAGCTACCGGGCTTTGGGCTGTGGCTTTATTCCATAGGCAGGAAGAAAGAGGCAGGAGCTGATGAGATAAGCTACCTTTTAGAGTGCATACGTGCAAAACCGGTGGCGCCACAACCGGTGTGCTTATGTTACCATGATCTGCAGGTGGTGGTATCTCTTGTTGTAGATCAGGAGAAGTTTTGGATTTTGAGGGGGGTGCTGAAAGATGAGTTTTTGATTTCCAGCATGTCTCTCTTGCAGATGCAGGGAAGGAGCTCTATTCTGTCAAGAAATCCAGAGTACGAGGGGACTTCAGCCAACATCATGTTACATTAATCTCTTGTCATCCACCTGGATCCAAAGCACAGTGTTCTGGTGGAAAGTACTTAGACTAATTTGTCTTCAGAGTCCGGGTTTCTCTTTGCCAATAGGGCAGTGTAGGGGTTCTACTTCTAGAAACATTTGCCTGGTCTTTCTGCCTTGTCTTATCACTAGTGCTAATGTTTGAGGTGTGTTATAAAACCTTTTTAGCACTGTGATTTTAAGTAACTCATTCAAAACGTGTCATGTCATGCAGAAACTTTGTGCACTTTGCTAAGCGCTTTCTGGCACATGTGGAAGGGTGCAGGGTGAAGCTGTTGTGTCTTGAAGATGTGACAGTGTTGTATGGTTTCCAGAACTGAAAAAACAATACAAAGCCCAGCTTTTGGCAAGCGACTTGAGTGTCGTTCTACACAAATTCTTAAAACCACTCTGTCGGTTGGCTTAGCCAACTAATGAACAACTTCTGTACGTTGCGGTTGTTTTACAGTAAGTATCTGGGGCTTTGCAGATCTTGTATTGTTTGCAAGAATGCACAACAGAGGCCATTCAGATATTATGCTTTCCAAAAGGTGAAAACAATTGCTGTTACAAGTGCAAACTGTTTTTGGGGGCATGAAGTGCCTGGCTTGTTGTGCTGCTTCTCCTCTCAAGTGGTAAGCTGGAGACGAAACTTATTTTGGATACAGTTGACGTATATTTATCTTCTTTTTAAACAAAATAAATTACTCTATGAAAAGCTATGGTTAAATCCAAGGAGGAAATTTCTATTACAGAAGTGGATTTTCCTTTTCCCCCGTGCCTCGTGATGCTGAAACTTAGAATGTTTCACGGAGATGCAATTGCTTTTCTCCAGTGTTGTCCGTCTCTTCCAATACTGAGTTTCTTATGCAGCAGAGTGGCCAAGGCTGGCTGGGAAGGATGTTGTACTTCTTTGGGGTCGTGAAGAAAATGGTTGCCTGGCTGAGATGAAGCTCTCAATGTTGTGTTCTAAGTATGGTTGATAGAAACAGTAGTATCTAGCTAGTGTGAAGTGCTACAGGGATGTTACTTCCATTAAGGTAGAAGTGCTCTTTCAGTGCTGGTTGTATAGAAATATGTCTATGGGCCATGTAGTGTAAGCTTGTGAGAAATGTGTTAAACTTAGTACCAGCTCCTTTAACTTCTAAGTGTTGCTGGAAAAGGAACTTATCAGTTATTTAAAAAGGGAGTGTCTGTATAATCTTCCATAGTCAACTGAATGTTTTTTTTTGGGTGGAACTGTTCATGTCAGTTCCCTGTTACTGTGTTGGCCTTGAGCAGAGTTAGATGCGGAAAGTCATCTGATGGCTAGAAAAAGAGGAATGCAGCAAACCTCTGCTAAGGGCTTTGTGTGGGAGCTGCCAATTTTTTCTCTACTTGTGCTGTTCTCTTCTGAATACAGTACAACTGAACAAATAGGCTGTCTGTGATCTGCGTTTGCCATTTCTGAAAGAAATGAAAGCTCTCTCTCTTAAAACCTGTCCCTAAAGGAAGTGCTTCTCTTCTAGGTATACTGCAGCATCCAGATGGGACTGTTCTGAAGCAGCTGCAGCCCCCACCTCGAGGTCCCAGAGAGCAGGAGTTCTACAACAAGGTGAGGGTCCACCTGGTTGAGGTGGCTGTTCTTCATGTTGAGTCTATTTTGTTGCTGCTGTTGTAGAAGTGTAATCTGAATATCTGAATGGTACATCACTGACAGTCTTGTCACAGTGTCTATGCTGTCTAGAACTTTGTCCTTTCAATCTATATCCCTGTGCTTATTTGCTCATGGGACATCAGAGTTTTCATAATATCCGAGACTTGATTAAAAAGCCTCGTGTGATCTTCATCTGTGAATAAGGAGTTGTGTGTGGGATCCCATTGTTTTCTTTCTCATGTTGCTGACTGTCTTGGATTTGGTTGCATCTAAAATCTAGTCTTTTACCTGCCCATCCAGGCTGGTTTTATTGCTTTAAGTATTGCCTGTTCACCATGTTAAAACCCAGTTCCTTTAAAATGTCAATAAAAAGAGCAATTCTCCAACTGCTTCAACTTCAGTTTGTTGTATTTTCCTTGTGAACCAAGTCTGTTGCTCATCTCCACTTGGCTTTATCAGTAACTTGGATAGCACACACCAGGAAAGCTGTTGCTGGTTATGTTACTTGCAGGTGAACTGTTTTTACGGTCTTGTTTCCTTACCAGCCATCTGCCCATTGCAGTTTATCATGTTTTTTTATTATTATCTTGATATGTCATCCCTTTTTACATGTACAAATAACTGCAGAAATCTTCATGCAAGATGAAAGAGGAGCCTTGAGACTCTCTTTTTGTTCTGTGGTTTGTTTTTTTTTGTTTTTTTTTTGTTTTTTTTTTTGTTTTTTTTGGAAGGTTATTGATGTAAGCTACTGAAGATGTTATGTGTTTTGTGGAAATATCTCACATAAAACTGGCTGAGCTACATACTGTAAGCTAACGGTGTGTTTGCATAGTAGTGTTACTTGATAATTCCCAAGATAGGACTGTTAGACAAAACAGCAGCTCTTGAGTTAGTAAGGAGCTCAGCGGGAGCCAGTTACGCCTAGAAGTAAATATTTCTCTGAGGTTTCCTGGTGACTCTCATTTAGGTCAGGTTGAGAATCATACAATCCAGGTTGAATGGCAACTCTTGAGTAGAAGAAGAAAGCTTAAACAGATGCCTCTGAGTGCCAGGATGGTTACTAATCTGTGGAATCCTCAAGTACTATTGCTATCTAAAGCCAGAGAGCAAGAGCAGTAAGCTTGACCATGACTTAGATGTTAACCTCTCTCAGCACAAGCTTTGTTGCTTGCCTGTTGCTTAGATCAAGTGACAAGCTGTGAGCAAGACCCTTGACAAAAACTTGAAGTAAGGGTGCCGTTGTTACTAGAGCCTGTTGTAGGGGAAGGAATCGGGTCTTAATGCTACTGAGAGTTTCTCTTCTGGAGCCTTGCTGTGTCACTTCTGACACTGAATGTTTTTTGTTTGTGAGCCATCTGGAAAAGGGGCAATTCTTGAGGAATGATGGGGAGAGGAAAGGCTGTGTGCACGATTGCTTGTGCAAGGACTAGGATGCCATTCTGTGGGAGAAGGAAAGGAGAGAAAATACTTATGTGCTGTATAGGTGAAAGTACAGGAGAAAGATCTTGGGGATTTCCAGCTCCTCAATGATTAATTGCTTTCATGTTTGCTCTCAGGCTAGAACCACATGGTGCCAAGTGTAGATACCTGAGCACTCCATATATTTCTAACGAGATGAGGATTACTGCAGGTTGTGGGTTTCAGTGTAAGGTATGCAGTCTTGCATTCAGCTTGTGTTGATACAATAGTTTATTGCTGCTGAGAGGGAAAGGCTTTTCCTCCTGTTTAGCCATTTATCTTACGCTGTGCTGGTGCTTTCCAGGTGTGGATGAATACTTGTTGACTTGTTGAAAGTTTTCTGTCAGTTAAGCTTATAAGCAGTAAGAACAGCAGCAGGACTGCCCCATTTTGGTGACTTAGCTCACTGCACTTCTGGTCTGTTAGAAGACTTGATTACCCTGGGATAGGCTAATGAGCCTCCAGAGAATGGGGGAAGGAAAATTTTACCACTCTTTGAGACAAGGAGTTGTTTACAAGGCAGTCAGGTAGAGAAGGTAATGAGAAGCAGTGCAGAAATGAAACAAGAGCGCTTCTAGATAAACTTACGTTGAGGTTATCTTCTGGAAGCAGGTGGAATAGAAATAGTATCAAGTTGGAGGGCAAAATCTTTCTAGATTGTTTAAAGCCTGCTGGGGTGGGGGAGTTGATGTGTTCTGTGAGGGCAGAGTGGAGTAGGTCTGAAAGTTGTTCCTCAGGTCTTCTCTGCTGGAGCCTTCATTAGTTGTATCTATTGCACCATGAGGTGTGTGAACCAAAAGAGTCCCAGACTGTCACTTCACCAGGACTAGACGGCGAGTCTGTTGATAACATCACACCAGAAAGTTCCCTCTGACTGTATGCAGGTTAATCATGCTATCTTTTCACTTCAGCACCTATGGCTTCATAGGCGCATTTAACTATTTTCTCTGTACTGATGTGATCAGTTACCTGGGCCAGAAAGAAGCCCTTCTTCACTTGTAGGTAAAGCAAACCACCTCATCTGGAGCCATTGGGAACCGTTGCAGTTCATGTAGCAAGATGATGCTGCCTGCATCAGCAAAACACCAGGAGTTTGTTCCTGTTGGGCACGTGAGGGATATTGTCTTCTGAGCACAGAGCGGAGTGCTAGCCGGTACAGCCCAGCAGAATGAGCTCCCTGCAGTGTTGTGTGCTTGAGCTGCGGGAAACTTCAGCAAAACGCTGTGGTGCAGAATGCTAATAGTGATCTGAATCTATGATGCTTATGGCAGCCTGCTCAGAAGTGGATGGCATTGGAAGAATCTGTCTCTGTCAGAGTGGAAAACTGGAGAATCTCTAATAATCCCTACTCAGACTGCCATTAGTTTATCCTCCTGTTTCCCTGATGTTTTCAGTTCGGCAGTTAAAAAAAAGATGAGGGAGGAGGAAAAAAAAAAAAAAAAAAAAAAAAAAGAGAGAAAAATGTAAATACTGTTCTTCTTCCTTAGAAGGTTATTTGATCAAATATACCAAATTTTTCCTCTATTAGAGGAATGCAGACATTCTCTACTGATGCGGAAATCACAGAATCGTAGAATGATTACATTTGGAAGGGACTCTGAAAGGCCATCGGGTCCAACTCCCTGCAGTGAACAGGTACACCCACAGCTCCATCAGGAGCTCAGAGCCTCATCCAGCCTGATCCCGCTGCAGGGACACCACTTCTCTGGGCAGCCTGTATCAATGCTTTGCCACCCTTATAATAAAAAAAAATGTAATTAATTCTGTGTTGTGAGGTAGGGGAAAAATAGACTATAACAAGTTTATCATCATGAGTTGCTCTTGTGATAAAATGAGAGTAAAAAGCTGTTTGTAGCTATTGCTAATAATTTGATAAATATAGTAAGCTTAATTTATCATTGGAGCTTTATTTTCCAGTAGTAATGGCCACTTTGTATTGAATTCTGTAAATATCAATAATTATCATTAAGATTAATAACATCTGTTTTTGCTCCTGCAAACTCCCTTCCTGTACCTGAGGGTGTGAACTTAGTATGCTGCATAGCCACTAAGTGTTTTAGCAAGTCTTCTAGTACCATTACCTGGTTAAAGAATTGATTGAATTTATTTTTTTTTAAGCCTTGAATAGCCACCAAATACTTTGTTTTCTGTAGACACGAGCAAGAAGTAATTGTAAGAGAGTGGTTGCAGTTTTTTTGAGGAGTGTCTGCACCGATGATGGGTTGTTTCCGTCTAATGTAGACTGCTTGCTGAGGAGGTGTAGGCAGAGGTGCTGCAAAGGACTGCTTTTATAGGAGTTTTGGGAGGCTGCAGCACACAGATGTGGAGGCAGAAACACAGTGGTGCTTGAAAATTCATCCTAATAGATGATGTAGTGGTGACCTGTTTCCAGGAAAGAAAGTGAATTGCTGCAAGGCACCGTGTGATCGTGCTGGCTGCCTACACGTGCGTACCTGGGAATCCATAAAGCAGGCTGCTTCTCAGTCTATTTCAGTATTTTAATTCAGCCTGCTTTATGCCAGTGCATGTGTACGTGCTGAAACAGTCTGATTTAATTCAGCAGTGTTAGCAGAGGGAAGGGAAGAAGCCTGTTGAACCTCTGACTGCGTCCCTTCAGGCAGGTGAGTTGGGATCTGTGAACCAAGCGTGCTTGGGAAAGGTCAACACAGTCTCTGGGTGAGGTGAAATCTTTGTGCTCTGCTCGGAACACAGCTCTTGTTTCAAAGTGCCAGGCTGTACCCAAGAGCACTGTGTGCTAACATAACTATCCTCTACTATTTAAGAGCTATCATGTTCAGGAGAGGGTTTTTATTCATTTGTCACATCAAGAATGTAGCTCTGCAGAATCCGCTGTCCCGTTGGTGCCGTGAAGAGGGGGAGGAAGCTGGAATGTCGTGCTTTAAATAGGGCAGCTGCTTCTGTAGGCCCACAAGGATAGATCTTGGACAGCAAATATTTAAAGCTGAGGAAGAGAATTTACAGTTGTTGAAGCTAGCTTCCCAGCTACGCTTTCCTAGAAGCTCTGTGTTTAGCAGTATGAGATGGAGAGCTTCTCTTCTTGCATGCAACAGGACAAAGGAAGGTTGCTGGGCGATTTGAAGTGAGAGCTCCTTCAGTTCTGATTTCTGACATTGGCTTCATTTGGCCATAGACCTCTGTTAGCATGTGTACCTGCTTTGAACGTGGTGTACTGAAGTTTTAAAGGTTGGTAACTGACTAGCTAATAAACAAGGGTTTTATAGTCAACGGATCAATAAATGTGCCCATAAACTTTTATTTGAAGTGCCCTTTTGCTCTCCTACAGTAACTGCATGATGCTTGGGGTTCAAGAAGTATACCTTCCTCCCCTTGTTCTGCTTTTTGAAAACTGTCCTATCTGATAAAGTTCTTGCAGCTTGGACAACTTCCAACAGTTAACGTTCTTTTTCCTCTTTGCTAGCAGATGCATGTCAGAATTGTCATAGCTGGTGCTTGTGATGTTGCCACATAATGGCTCCATA